TGGGTCCCCAAGTTCTGTAGCTCTTGTATTAATTCTGCTGTTTTCTTCTATCTTTCTTATAGTATTATTTTGGCCACAATTTCTTCATTTCTTGAGGTTGCCGTCTTCCCTCGCTTTGTTAATCTTTGAGGTCTTTGTGATCTTCCTCAAAATGCTGGCTCGTTTTAAAGTGGTTGGTTCATGTGGGGTAGCACTCCCATAATTTTATTTTTATTACTATTTTGCAAAGCTTCTCTCATTTGGGGAAGATGTTCTCTTGAGTTTTGTTTAAAAAATTTGATCATTTGTTTCATACTACAAAAAGTACCCTTTTTTTTTACAGGCACCCTCACAAGACCATGAGAGAACATGTTTGCCACAATCCACTGCTCATAGAGACGTGTTTCAACAGGGTTTGTTTGGAATGAACCTGTGTAGCTATGAACTGGAGCCCTAGGAGCTATACTTGTTTTGCTTAATCTCATAAAGGGTCCATCTGACACATTCTTGATCCAATCTTTGACAATTTCATTAAAAAAAAATGAAAGAGCAAGAAGCTATTACTCTGGGACCTAATTCTGGCCTTCAATAACTATTTGGGAAAGTGATAAGAATCTGAAGAGAATGTGATTCTGTTATCATCTATGAAAAGAGAGCACTGGGTAGAGTCATACTATATCATGAGTTTTGGAAAGCAGTTTCCACAATGTCAAAGGAAAGATGGATTTGATCCCTTCGCCAGAGAGTCTGACTGCCGTGTCGTGGAGGTTAAATTGATAAACGGTCTCAACGAGAAGCAAAGGGAGGCATCTGAAGTCATCACACCATTTGCACAGGTTGCTCTCTGATGAATCAACATTTTTTTTTAAAAGATGTCTAACTCTGGACAGAATCCCAAAATGGTCCAAGAATGCCACCCCGAAGCAACAAGAAAGGCCGAGGTCGAGATGTATGGAGACTGGTGAGCACAGCCCCAAGGGCAAGAGCAAGATTGACTTGCTTTTTGAAGCCGAAGGTGTGGCTTTGGACAAGGACATCCAGGACTCCTGTTTTCTGCCTGCTAAACCACTACGCAAAATGAGCCTCGCTTTGGAAAAGGTTAGAATCAAGAGGAAGCATTAAAGACCAACATGATAAAATAATAAATAAAGGATAAGCTCTTGTGTAAGAGTTTACTGCCTCATTTTAGGGATGACTCTGGGGATGCAGGCAGGTGGGTTTCCTGATCTTTAGTTTCCCTTTTTTGAATAGGGAGAAAACAAAGCTCGATACTTACAAGCATTTTTAATTTCTAAAAGCATACAAAAACAGTTGCTTTAAAGTCAGTTCTGACTCATGGCCACTCCAAGTGTGTCCAAATAGAACTGTATTCCACAGAATTTTCAATGGCAGATTTCTGGAAGCAGATCACCTCTGGGTGGACTTGAACCTACAACCTTTCAGTAAGTAGACAAGCAGGTGAATGTGAAACAGTTTTACCACCCAGGGACTCCTGAGGCACCTTTAATATTTTATTGTGTACTTTCTCCACTCAAACTTCATTCCATGGGGTCAATTTGGACTCATGGCCACCGGACAGTTTCTCACACTGTCAATCCTTACAGGGAGAGAAAGCCTTATCTTTCTCCGGGGCAACGGCTGGTGGGTTTACGCTCCAACACTCTGGTTGGCAGCCCACCCACCACCTCCCCCACAGCACCAGCAGGGTGCCTTACTTTGCATATTCTAATTATGATGATGGGTTACTACATGAGTGCCAGTCAATCTATTATTAAATCAGAAGCAAAACATGAGCAAGCATTTTGCAAATCACCTAGTAATCTGCTTTCAGACTTTAGACTCCTGCTGTCAGGTGAGAAAGTCACCAGGACATGATTTAGGACAGTCTGTGGCGTTTATCAAACAGTGTTCCGTAAGGGTTCCTCTGATTGGTTCCTGTGTGGAAGTAGACCTCTGGGTCCATCTTCTAGTCTATCTTAGTCTGGAGGCTCCAGCAAAACCTATCCAGCATGAGGGACCTTCTTGGTATTTGCAACACGAATGACACCGCTCACAGTCTCACAGCAACATGAAAGCCACCACAATCCGGTAATGTGGCGGGCTGTTTCTGTTTGGGTCACTCTGAGTGGGAGCTGACTTGATGGCGCCTAACAATGACAACAACACCGCTGTTTACAGCCTCAAAGGTGAACCTGGTGTCCTAACCCAGAGCCCAGTCACACAGGTTCCTATGTAGCAGGTGAATGAAGGAAAACAATCACACTTAATTTCAGAGTATCTAGTAAAAAACATTGCCCAACACCATTGCTTGTGCCTTCATTGAATGAAAGAGATGGAAAGAATAAAACGGATCTTTGCCTTCCTGTTACTCCATAAACTTCCCCTTAGCCCAAACACAACGAAGCAAAACCCCAAACCGAAACCCATGGTTATCAAGTGAATTCCATCGCATTATGACTCTATAGGACAGAGTCAAAGAACTACTCCTTAGATTGTAAATCTCTACGGGAGTAGAGAGCCTCATCTTTCTCCTTCAGGGCAGCTGGTGGGTTTGAACCTTTAAGGAACCCACTTTTCTAGGTTGGGAAGCCTAGAACATGGAACCCCAGCTCCTAGATTAGGAGCTAGAACATGGACTTTTTACTGGGAGGTCCAGGTAGGAGGTTCGGAGTACCTTGCCGAAGTCTCCAGTACCAGGATCGATGGTTTATGCTCCCCAATTCACACATGTGGCCAATAAAGCTCTGAGGGTGGGGCCCCGCCCCACTCCCCCAGGCAAGCACGGCAGACTCATTCCAACAGCTCTGGACAGGGACATGCTACAGGCAGACCTCACTGTCTTGTGCCCTGCTTTAGGTGCCTTGCCGATCTTGAGGTAGTTTCTGCTCGCTTGAGGATTTTTCTTTTCTTTTAGGTGGAAGATTTGTGGTGACCCGCATCAAGCACGTCCATGGGCACCATGTGCTTCCAACAGCATGTGCCCACTTTGCGTCTCCGTGTCCCATGCCGGTCATTCTCACCCGATTTCCAACTTCCCCAGAATGCGATCGTACACGTGGTAGTCCACAGTTGAGTGTAAACGATAACACTTTCATGCACTCAGAAACCAAAGCGCTCTGGGCTCGCTGTGTGGTGCCACCCGTGTTACTACTCTCTGTGAGCTCGGCCTGAGGTCGGAAGCCTGAGGTGGTGGTGGTGAGGGGGGTGGGAGGGAGGACCTGTGAGGATGCACTCAGCAGGTGGAGGGGACAGGGAAGCCAGTGATGCCCCTTGACTCACCGGTGGATGAAGTGGTTTTCCTCTAAATACTGACAGCCGCAGGCAATGTCCCGGGCCACGTGCAGCAGGTCCAGCATGGCCAGGGAGGAGGGCTGATTCTGCGGGAGACAGAAGCCATCCACTGATGAGAAGTCCGTGGGGGCGAGGGGACCTCTGGAACACCGGCTATGCTCGCAAGGGGCTCTCGGCCTGGCTGCACGTGGTGAGCAATCACCTCACCCATTTCGAGGATCCCTGGGGTCACGACGGATTAAGCACAGCCCAACTCGGCAGCGGTTACAAGGAGGAGCGCTTGGCTGTCTTCCGTAGGATGGACAGGCTGGGAAACGCACGCGGGTGGCCTCTCAGTGGGTTATGAGTTGGACTATGAACTGCAAGGCTGGCAGTTCGAAACCCCCCTCCCACCACTCAAACTTCCTGCTCCTGTAAACCCCCGGGGGTTGTTCTAGTCTGTTCTAGAAGGCTGGCATGAGTCAGAAAAGACTCAGTAGCGGTGGGTTTGGTGTGTTTAGGAAACCCAACTGCGCAGTTCTGTTCTGTCCTAGGGGTCACCTAGGGTCGGAATCAGGTAGCCAGAACAGGGGAGCATGGTGTCTACTGGGCATGCTCCAAATTCAGGCTCTGAGCCAGGAGGGGGCGGTACACCTAGGTGGTCAGTACACCTGGGTTGGCTCTAATCTAGGCCAGGTGGGCTTCATTCAGCCAATGGGGTCAACCAGCATCGTTGACCACGCGTCCCAGCGAAGGCCCTAAAAAGCCTGAATGGGTGGGGGTGGGGAGACCACACTCTTTTCCAGCGTTTCTCTCTCTCTCTGTTCTCTCTTTCCTTCCTCCCCCCTCAGGCTCAGGCCGCCATGTGGATGTGCAGTGCCCTGAGGGGGCTGTGTTCAGTGACTGTAACGCCCGAAGCTTCTTCTATCCTTTCTAAAAACCCGCTTGGATCACAAACTAGGCTTCGGCATGAATTCTTTCCCTGCGATGCCAGTGACAGGTATTTCTCACCCGAGGAAAATCTAAGAAATCCACCCGACGGCATTGAGTGGCACGCCTGCTGCTGCTCTGCGGTGGAGTTGATTCCGCGGGTGTATACCCCCCACCCCCCTGTGACTAGTAGACCTGCCCCATCGGGGTTTCTTGCTCGTCATCTTACGAAAGCAGAGCTCTAGGCCTTTTGTCTCGGCAGCTGCTGCATGGGTTTGAACAGCCAATCTTTGCAAACCGCCACCCCCCTGTATACCACCCACACCACCAGGTTCCCAGAAATCCCTTGTGTGCCTTTAAAAAGTGTAGTTTGCCTGGCCCCCGGCCCGGGTCAATGAGTCCATCTCTGGCGGGAGAGAGGGGTTTGAGGCTCCCAGAGGATTCTACAGTGCGGGCTGAGGGCAGAGGGACCCTGCACCACACAAAGATAGGATGGGGTAGATGTCCCTCCCCCTTAAATTCATTCTGCTCTTTCCCCGACCCAAATCTTTACACTCAACCCTCCAAATGTAAAAAACGAATCTGTAAGTTAATCACGGGTGGCGGTGGTAATGTTTTTAAAAGAAATCTCCAACCTAAGTTAATTTTGTAATTATGGTAAATCTACATGAGTGTGTGAAACAGAACATTTGCCGTCTCAGCATTCTTCCAAGGCACAATTCAGTGATATGAACTGAGTGTGTACAGCCATCCCCAGGATCTCGCCATTTTTTTTCTATTACCCAATTTAACTTCGTTTTATTCCATAAAATCCACAAGGAACGTAATTTGAAAAGGAAAAGCTTTGGGGATGTGCATGGCAAGTCAGGGGTGATCTCCAGTGTGTCTGTGCTTAGTCTCTGTCACATTGAATGAGATGGAACTCACCGTGGGCATGGCCCTCTCTGGCTTTCCTGGGCATCTTTGCTAAGTGCCATCAAGTCTTTTCTGAAGGCTACATCCCGTTTCTGAATTCCTAACCCAGAGAATCTGCTGTAGAAAGTAATCACATGGTGTCGTATTCACTTAGTCCTTCCAACGTTTATTTTACCACGTCCTTGAGTACACTTTGAAGTCCCTGAGGCAAGAGCTTAATGTCACACTCCCACAGTCTCCAGTATCATGCGTGACCCATTGGGTTATCACTCTGCACTATGATTTATCTAGACTGTAGATTCTAGAGGGATATGGTTCCTTCGAATCCTACATATGGAAAAAGACAGAGAAATCCCCTTTTGCTCCTGCTGAGTTGAGTTATCCAGGCAAGCTGATGACTCTTGCTGAATGGAGAAAACCCCAACAGAAAGTTCATATGGCTTGCAGATGACTCTCGTATTTTGATTTTCCTTCTTCTGTATCCTCATGTATCCCTAAGAGGGTGGGGGAGGAGGACAAGGACTAGGCTTTGTAGTTCGAGGTTGTGGTAGTTATATAATTGTCAATTTGAAGATTAAGAGTGTAGGAGTGAAGTCTAGCCTATCAGTCAGATCATAGCCAACGAGGCCTCTGTGTGGGCATGGCCTTCTCCTGAGAATTCTGGAAATCTGGTATTTCTTCCTTGGAGGCAGGAGAGACTCGCCCTCACTACTTCACTCCCCGGGAGACATTGCAGCTGACAAGATACATGGAACTACATTAGTGCCCTGAGCTGGAGAAGCCACATGGACCTACTCTGATGCAATCAGATCTCTGAAGCTGGAGAAGCCCCTTGGAGACTCCTGTCACTGCTACGATGCTTCTACCGCCACTGGATCCACAAGACTTTCCACCCCCTGGCCTGTGATGGTCCTGTATTTGGCATCATTGCATGTGTCTTGTGAGTCTGAAGAGGACTTTATAGATTAGTATCAGACATATGGGCTAATATTGGACTTATGGGGCTTGGATTGGACTGAGATGCTTTCTTAATATACAATTACGTTTTATATAAAATTCTCATACCCATATGAGTTTCCATGGATTTGTTTCTCTAGTCTACCAGGACTAGCACAGCAGTTAATCACAGGAAAGACACCTACCATGGCTAGCCCATTGTGGGTGTTCACTAAATAAGGGGCGGGTAGTTGATTATAGCTCTAGGATTTACCTGGGGAGAGATGGCTCAAAATCCTATATAAGAAAGCAGACCAATAAACCACCTTAGAGTTCAGTTTCTTAGAGACAAAGCTGGAGAGATGTTGTCTCATGTACTTTGGACATGTTGTCAGCAGAGACCAGTTCCTCGAATAAGGACATCATGTTTGGTGAAGTGGAGGGGCAGTGAACAAGAGGAAGTCCCCCCCACCCCCAGGAGATGGATTGACACCATGGCTGCAACAATGCGCTCAAGCATAGAAACTTGTCAGGATGGTGTTCTGGTGTGCATCCAGTCGCTGTGCGTCAGCATGCACTCAATGCCACCTAACAACAAAAACAACAACAACAACAACAACAACAGAGTTCAGGTGTGGAATTCAGGCTCTTAAGCTGCCTGCGGATTTTCTGAGAAGGCCACTCTCAGAGCTCCTTTGAGCAGGGGCCTGGGCCTGCGGAGAGGTGAGGATTCACGCTTCTCTAGGGCAGGCTTCAATTCTAGGAGAGACAACGTTGGGAGTTTCCTTTGCGGCTGTGTCTTACACTCAGTAGAACAATCCCACATGCCTTGTCTCTGACACAACCTTCTCTATGGTGGATAAGGAAGAAATCGACGGTCTCCATGATAAAGCTGGACAGACTCATTCCAGGTCAGGTAGCTAATATGGGTGGAGGCTGAAACTCCCCAGACCAGGGTTCACAGGATCTGGGGTGGGAGGGGCAGGGTTGTGGGAGTTAAAACTAAGCTTCTTAGGAGAGAGTGCCGCAGAAGGGATGGGGTGTCACATCATGTGGTAGACAGCATTCAAGCACATACACAACTCAGTACAGGAGTCCAGGGCTCAGTATCCTGCCACGGTTAGTTGAGCCAGTCTGAGTTTCAAACCCTGCTCATTCCATATTCACTGAGTGGGCAAGTTACTCAGTCTCTCGATGCCCCAGCGTCCTTATCCGTGCAACTGGCTCGGGAGGATTGCCCTCTTGCATGCTTACAAGCAGCCACATAAAGAAGGTAATGTAGTGCCACGGACTAGATCAGTGGTTCTCAACCTATGGGTCGCGACCCCGTTGGGGATTGAACGACCCTTTCACAGAGGTTGCCCGATTCATAACAGTAGCAACATTACAGTGATGAGGTAGCAATGAAATAATTTTATGATTGGAGGGGTCACCACTACACGAGGAATGGGATTCAAGGGTTGAGGCATTAGAAAGGTTGAGAACCATGGGGCTCAAGGAAGAGTCCCTTTGTGTCTCTGCCCTCATCACTCAGGACCTTTAATATCTCAGATGCTCCCGGGGGTCCATGATGCTGCCAGGACCAGATCTTCTACTGTAGGGCCAGGTTTATCTGGCTCCCTGTCTCTGGCTGCTCTAAGCAAACGAACTGCTCCACGAATCAGTCCACGCAGACAGCAGCCAGCAGCCTGAGGGGTGGATGCACGTGCACGTAGTTATGAAGGAAAAGGGGTGTTGTGTCAGAATCTACTCCTGTACTGGTAGTGCAGGGTGTAGCTAGTCTGTGTGCCCCATGCCATCTGTGGCCCAGAATGTGTTGGGAATAAGGATTTTACCTTCTGATCTGGGGGATTTTACCCTCTGATCTGGAGAATGACACTTCTTTTGGCAACTGAAAAAAACAACCCAACTGCCATTACGTCTCTTCTGACAGCCATGAAGCCTTTAGGGCAGAGCAGAACAACCCTTTTGGATTTGCAAGAGCAGAAAGCCTTACCTGTCTCAGTAGGAACAGCTGGTGGGTTTGAACCGCTAACCTTGTGGTTAGCAGCCCAACTCAAAACCCACGACACCACCAGTGTGCCTCAGCTTGGCAACTAGATATTCTTTTTCATTGGGATGAAAATAGAGAGTATAAAACCTTCCTCCTCTCCACCATTTGCACACATAGAATTTAGTGACACCAGTGAATTCTTCACGTTGTCAAACCATGATCCCTATCCTTTTCCAAATCATTCTATTACCATTAACATAAATCACTGTTCCCTAAGCAAAAACTTCCCTTCCGCCACTCACTCTCACCTTGGGAAACCATGAGTAGTCTCTGGTTTCTATATACCAGCTTGTTTCATAAAAGTGAGATCATAGCGGGTGTGTCCTCCTTTGACGGACTTAGTGTGATTAGCGTCATGTTTCCCAGGGGCATCCGAGTTGAGGCATGCATCAGAGCTTCATTGCTCCGTTTGACTTCAGTTCTCTCAGAGCGGGCTAAGGAGAGTTCCAGTGTTTGACTTTACCACCCTTTGCTTATGCAACCCCTGCTCATGAACACTTGGGTTGATTCGACCTATGGTCACTGGGGAAAAGTGCTACAATGAACACCGCAGAGAGATAATCAGATGTTCTTAATAGCGTCATGGTTATAGACACATGTGCTGGGACTTGTTCAGGGTATCCCAAAGTGGCTTTGTGAGATGGAATTCAAAGCTCAAATAGGCAGGGGGTTCTGGGGGCAGTAAGTCCTTCGGAAAGGCAATGAGATGGATAGTACACCATAGCTCCCAAGTTTCACCAAAGAACTCATACTGATAGCTCTCTTGCTGTGCACCATCTATTAGCAGTATGTTCAGTTCAAGGACATTGTTTAGACCAGCGGTCCTCAACCTGTGAGTCACGTGACCCCTTTGGGGGTTGAACGGCCCTTTCACAGGGCTCACCTGATTCAGAACAGTAGCAAAATGACAGTGATGAAGTAGCAATGGAAATAATTTATGTTTGGGGGTGTCACCACCACATGAGGAACCGTATTCAAGGGTCGAGGCATTAGGAAGGTTGAGAACCACTGGTTTAAACTAATCTACTTTTGCAGGAAAACTGAAGGGTAATTCTTAATTTGGTATCAATACCTTCTGAGATGCTATACCCGAAGGACATAGTGGCTAGTTGGCATTGAGCTGATTCCAATTCTTTGGTGGCTCCCTATGCACAGCGGACCTGCTCCATAGGGTGCTCAAGGCTGTGAGCTTTCAGAAGCAGATTATCAGCCAGGCCTGTCTTCCAAGGAGCCTCTGGATGGGTTTGAACTACCGTTCTTTCCGCGATTAGTTGAGCACTTTGATAACTCACCTCACCGAGGGACTCTATACTCAAAGGGTAGTATGTACTATTTTGTACCAATAAACGAGTCCCTGAATGCTAGCAGTTCGGGTCTGGGCTTTCTGTCACAGAGAGGGGAGGGCTCACACTTTCTTTGTTCTCCTGGGGCTGGGGTAGGGTAATCACCTCTTTTCTTCTGCCCCTCACAGTCCAGTCGCTCTCAAGCCTAGATTTTAACCAAGGGGGGATCTCTGTGCTCTGGCTCCTAATGCCCAGAGCCCAGGGCCTGCTGAAGACCCTGATGATGAGAGGAGGGAGGGGCTGGACTCTGGGTCTGCCATGTACTGTACTTCAGAATTCAGAATCACTGCTGAGATGTCCGGGTGTGACCCTTGTAACCTCCCCTGCGCAGGTATGGAGGTCAGAGAGGGGAGCTGACTGCCCTCCGCCATGAGATTGTTTAATGGCCAGGCTTGGGACTCCTGGGTCCACTCTAGGCCTTCTCACTAGCCCAAGCTCTATGTCCTTGACCACAATGCCAATGCAGCGTGCCTCCCTAAATAGCTTTTGCTACATTTATTTGGTAGCAAAGCTGCCAGGCGGGATGGCCCGGGCCTGTGGTGTCTGTTTGATGAATGAGGAGAGTGGGGGTTCTCCATAAGTGGATGTCATACAACCGATCGCAGCTCAGCAGGTGACATGCCTGCTCTAACACTTGCCTCTGCGTGTGTCTCTACGGTGGTTCTCCAGAATCAGCAGCCCATAAGAATGAATTCCTTATTCCAAGATTCCTTACACAAGGTTCACACAAATGACCCACCTCTGTCTATCACAAGGCCAAGCCAAGAACGAGACCAAGATCCTTGGCCTCACTGAGTAGGTTGATTTCCAGGCTGCTCACTCTTGCTCTCCCATCCCTCCTTTTTCCTTTCCTTCAGTCCTTCCAAGAGGCAGGGTTGCTTGTCACTCACCGGGCGAGGGCGGGTCTCTCGAAGGAAGGACTTCAGGTCCCCTCCAGCCATGAGCTCCAGCAGGATGAATCGGGGCAGGGCCTGCAGGCTTACCCCGATACAGCGCACAATGTTCTGGTGGTTGAATTTGCTGCACAAATGAAACCAAATTGAACCGCGCTCAGAATCCAGGAAAATCTTAAAAAAGGAAAATGTACAACACAAGGGGATGTGTTCAGCAGCCACCCTGGAAATCTGTGTCAGGCTAGGGGGTAGGGTGGGGCTGGGGGTGGGGTGGAGGGCCCGAGTTGGGGAAAAAGGCTCTGAGGTTTTTGGGGTTTGTTTTGCTAATGTGACCCTATTAGGGCACACAGAATCATGGGGCCAGCGAACTTCATAGGTACATACACACACACACACACACACACACACACACACACACGCGCACACACGCGCCGCCACACAGAGCTGAAAGAATAGAAGACTATCTACAGAAGTATAAATGTGACCGTGGTGACAAGGAGTCCTGAGATGGAGCGATTTGAATCTTCTTCGACATTATCTTATCTTTCCCAAATCTCATCTATTACTCAATCCTCGTGGATGACAGGTACCATGAGAAAGTAAGTCAGACTTCTAGCAAGGAGCCTATTATACTGTGTGTCCTCTGTGCCTCTTGGCTTATAGGCCCGGTTCTAACACGGTCCTGGCTCCCTCTCACTGCTGCCATTTCCACTAGACGGGGACCCAGGCTGCCCTGGCTGCTAGGATGTTGGGAGGCTTGCTTCTCTGAGCCACAGGCACCATTGGCTCACCAGACTTTGGTGTCCAGCCTCTGCCTCCTCCTTCAGTAAGAGCCATTGGGAGCCTCACGTGCTAAGATTCCAGGGGGCTGGATTTAATCTAGACCTTGGAGCCACAAGCCAGAGGGTGAAGCTATCTGGGATTGCCCTTCCTGCTGTCCCCTGGGACTCCCTGAGTCCATCCCATGGGACTCCCCACGCTGATTTCCTTTCTAGGAGACCCGCGAGCTAGGTTCATGAAGGGTCTGGGCAAGTGTTATTGGGAGAGAGTGTAGCTTCTACCACCCATAGGGCAAGCATGCTGATTTCTTTTTCAAACAGAGGCAGAAGTGGATTCCTCTAAGCAGAGACGCGAAGGGGAGGGTTGGTGCATAGCACCCCCGGCCTCCCCATCCCCATACACACCTCCCACAGAACCAAAGAAGACAGGCGGGGTGCCAGCTGGCTCCCTCTTCTCTTCCTGAGGGCGCAGGTGGGACAGGCTGAGGCTGGGCATGGCCCATGTGCTCAGGGAACCATGCTGCAGTAAGGGGCTGCCTAGGATGGACTCCTTGTCTCCCTGGCATGTCTCCCCACTAGGTGAGGGACACAGGACCCAGGATGACAAGAGGGGTGCTGGCTGCAGGCTGAGAGCTAGCTGTCAGGTTAGGGGACCATGAAGGTTTTTCCCTGCCAAGACTGTCCCCGCTGTCCCTCCCTGGTAAGAGGTGTTAAGATTTGGGGAGTCTCATGGTAGGGAGAAAGGGACCAGCGGAGGACATCAAACCTCTGTCCCCTGCAGACATCATCTGCCTCTTTGTGAGCTGAGGAGGTGGAGCAGCTGTCTCTGGGCGGCTTTACCTGATGATCAGAGCCTCCATGAGGAAGTCCAGCTCGTCCTGTTCTGAGCACACCTCTGGCAGCGTCTGGGCACAGGAGGAGGGGTGGGGAGAGGACAAGGTGGTGAGCAGTGGGAGGGAGAGGCCTTTAGCTGAGAGTTGCAGATGATAGAACGGGCTGGCACAGTTAATGAGCTCAGTTGCTACCATAGAAAGGTTGCAGGTTCGAGTCCACCCAGAGTCACCTCAGAAGAAAGGCCTGGTCATCTACTTAGGTGGGTGGGGATCACCCATTGAAAGCCCTCAGGTGCACAGGTCTACCTGGACACACATGGGGTGGCCAGGAGTCAGACCCTGGCGAGAGGCTGTGTTCTCCTTACCTTGACCGCCACTTGCAGGGGGCCCGGGTCATTGGGCATTCCTGACACTTGGCCTTCGTACACTTCCCCAAAGGCACCATGGCCCAGACCCCTGTGCAAAGGAGAAGAACAGTGAGGAAGAGCCAGCCAGTCATGCTTAGTCGATGCACACAAGAGACCAGGGGACACTTGAGGGACCCCATCTCAACCTGGCCGTGCTAGGCAAGTGTGGGCTTCAAGTTCGCTACCTGAGAATGCAGAGGAAGTTCCTAACCAAGAGTCCACTCCCTCGCTGCATACTTACTGAGACTCCGACAACCCAGGGACAGAGCGATGAACGACTCAGCCCTGCTCAGGTTCGGCTCCCACTGCCTTGGGAGGGTCAGATCATAGGCATTGGCGTCTGGGAGGCTGAGGGAGGGGCGCTGCCCTGGCCTGGTGGGGAAGGGATGGGGAAGGCTTTCTGGGGTGAGGGGTCACTTGAAGGGAGTTTTAAAAACATTAATCGTGTGTGCTGAAATATATGTATGTGTGTGTGTGTGTGTGTGTATATATATATATATATACATACATATAAAGCAGGCAACATATGTACAAGTTTGCTTGCTATAATTAATTTATGGATTGTTATAATATCTGTAAGAGCCCCAATAAAATGATTTTCAAAACATTTGTCATTATATATATATATATATATAATGACAAATGTTTTGAAAAAAAAATATATATATGTAACATTTGTCATTTTAATCATTTTTAAGTGTTCAGCCAGTGGCAATATTACATTCTTCAAGCTGTGCGATCATCATCAGTATTTATTTCCAAAAGTCGTTCACCACTGGACATAGAGACTCAGTGCCCGTAAGCACTAACGCACCAGCTCTGGTAAATGCTAATAGGCTTTGCTTGCCCTGCGCCCACCCCCCCTCCCACCACACACACTTGCTTCTCTTAGCTATTGTGTATAAGTGGGATTGAACAGTATTTGTCCTTTTTTATCTGGTTTATTCCAAGGAGCCTTGTGTGCGGGGGTGCGTAGTGGATTATGCACTGGGCTGATAACCTATAAAGATCAGCAGTTCAAACACACTAGTTGCTCTGGTGGTGGCGAGTTTAGTCATTGGGCTGCCATCCACATGGTCGGCTGTTCGAAACTACCAGCGGCTCCCCTGGGGAGAAAGACTGGGCTTTCTACTCCTGTAAATGGTTCCGGTCTCGGAAACCCACAGGGACCCGCTGTGAGTCAGCACTGGCTGGATGGCAGTGAACTGTCCCGCAGGAACAAGAGACCTTCCACCCTTGTAAAGAGTTACCGTCTCTGAAACCCACAGGGGCAGTTCTACTCTGTCCCATAGCTCATGAGTCAGGACAGATTTGATGGCAATGAGCTTGTTTGTTTGTTTGACTTTGTTCAGCTAGTGCATTCTGGGAGTTTTGAATGGATTTGGAGGTACACCTGGGTCTTCCTGCTGAGCCCTCCTCCCTTTCTATAAACTCCATGGCTATATTTGGGGTGTTCAAATAAACTAATACCCATGCCTCTAAGCGCTCCTGGATGCTCAGCTTTGTCCCCCTGGGGTGGCTTTGATGGCCTGTTGAGACTAGAGGAATCATGGTGGTATGATGGCACCCATCCCTAGGAGCCCCCAAGGGTGCTGGCAGGTGCTCACCGAATGAGGGTGATGTTTTTGCGGGGCACCTCCTTCAGGTCGCTGATGGAGGAGGTCTTGCCGGCGAAGCAGTAGTTGGGGTTGTAGTCGGTCATGATGGTGGAGGTGCGCAGCTTGCTCAGCTTGTACTCAGGGCTCTGCAGCTCCATCTGCATGGCCTGCAGCTCCTGGTGCTTCCGGCGGTACACTGCCCACACACGGAGGTCCGCTGGAGGGCCGGGCCCTTGATGGCCAGCCCAGGCCACCTCCTCCAGGAAGTGCCCCGCCCCCACCAGCGCCAGCTCCCACCACGAACAGGGCTGCGTGAGTGTAACTAATAGAAACACGGTCACGGGCAGCTGGAGCGGCCAGGATGGGGTCAATTTTATTGTTCTCATTCAGGAGCCGGGGCATGGTAGTCTGGACCTTCAAGGTGGGATTAAATGTGCAAGGGAGAAACTATGAGAGGAAATGGGCGTGGCGGTCAGGCTGGCTCAGAGACCCTCCAGAATGCGACTGCGGTGAGTCTAACCCCCGTGGAGGAGAGAAAGTTGCGGAGAACCCCCCAGGGGCAGTTACAGCAAGGCTGGGGGTGGGGTGGGCAGAGGCTGGGTCTGCCTGGGTGTTCCTACTCAGTCAGAGGGTGGGGCCTCCGGAGGGGTGTGGTCTCCGGAGAGGGGCGTGGTCAAGGTCTTCCATCACCTAGCGTGTGAAAGTGTGGGGAAAGTGCTGGTTCTAATTCCACCTGTTAACCCACTGACTGGGCAACGCTGGCCAGGTCGTATGACCTCTTGGACCTCAGTTTCCTTCTCCAGAAGCAGACAGTCCCTCCTGTGCGCTTCCCTAACTCCACTCCCCACACCCTAGGGTCGTTGGAATGAAATGCGTTCATGATCACCAAAAGGTTTTGCAATATTCTGCGTGACTATTCCTTTAGCCCCACACAGGAGGGCACTGGGTAAGGCAAACCTGTGAGAGGCAGGGAGAGATGGGGACCCAGAGGAAGGCTTCTCTCTGGATTCAAATCCAGCCCCTGCACTTGCTGGCCAGGGTTACTGCCTCTTCCTGGAGATGTGCCCACAATAACCCGGCTTTTATGAGGGTCTCATGAACTAAGATGTGTAACCACCTGCGATGTAGTCATGTGCACCAAATGTTAGCCCTGGGACCAAGTCCGTTTGGATGACAGTGCTGTGCAGAAACATCCTGTCCACCCGGCAGATGGCCCTGCACGGAGTTTCCCCCGTCTTCCTGCCAGGCCTGTGCCTCTACCCTGGGGCCCTGCTGATGCCTGTGGGTAGTGCGCTCTGGGGAAGAGCCGCGCCGTCCATCACACGGTCTGAGGAGGGCTTAACGTGAAGTCTGGGGGCAAGTTGTAGCCAGCGGGGCAACTTTTGAAGAGTGGCTCCCACCTCCACCCTCTGAGAAGGACACGATAGGGCTGCAGCTCTGAACCAGGGATTTTACTAGGGACTCACAGCTGTTCTGCTGGTTTGGCTTGAGCTGTAGCAATTACCGCCCACCCTGGTTCCCAGCACTAGTGGCCAGAGTGGTTCCTGTGGCCCCTGCAGCCCCGCCCCCATGGAACTCCCTGGAAGTGCCAGGCTCTGGCACACTCACCGATCATGATGCCGGAAAAAGCCAGGACAAGGGCCGCCACCAGGGCAGAGGTCACGACAGAGAGGATCAGCGAGAGCGGCAGGTGGGGCTCTGGGGTGGGCGACACTGGAAGACAGGTCCAGATGGAGCACTGAGAACACTGGTCTGCAGCCAGGACAAAAGCCCCTGCTGCTCCCCGTCCCTGGGGACCCTGTCCATCTTCCTCATCACAGGATGCTGCCAGGGGCCAGGCGCTCCCTGGCTCTACCGTCTTTCAGAGGTGGCTTTGGGTGGTGGGGAGAGGAAGCCGTAACAGGGGAACATATCAAAGCCTGGATTACGGGTCCGACTGCACATGGACAAACATATTCTGTGTGTACAGATGACACTTAGGACCCTTATGTGGTGACAAACTCAGCCTGACCTAAAAGAGGCTGTGCGCGCCAGAAATGTTCTTGACTAAACTCAGTCTCCCACATCCCTTTAGAGCAGGTGACCAGCACGCGCTACCTAGGCACATATGCAGGCATTGGGTAGGGCACCAGAGGGAGACTTCAACAGGGACAGGGACAAACTGGGACACGGGCAGACGTGGGAGACCAGGATGGGGGGAACGACCTGGACTTGTCTTGAACGATTGAAACCAGCTGGGGTTAGGTACTCTGGAGAAGGCTTGTGGGACCGGGCCACAAGCACCACCTACAAACACTGGCTGGGCGGCGATGTTGCAAGGGAGGGGCAGGGTTCCAGCCGTGTGACTCCCCCCGGGGAGCAGAGTGTCTTGTGCTTCATAAGCTGTCTACCCTTGAGGCTGTCCAAGGGGAAACAGATGGCCCTTTGGGGGAGGATGTAGAGGAGGCAGTGCCGGGCTAAGAAAGTCTGTTGCTGACTCACAGGGACAGAGTAAAACTATCCCGTGTGGCAAAGGAGAACTCTCCCCTGGATTTTCTGGGAAGGCGTCCTGGTGGTGCTCTAGGGCAAGTATTGGACTGCTCGCCACAAGGTCAGTGGTTCAAACACATCTACTCTCTCTCAAGGACGCTGTCTGTTCCCAGAAAGGTTTACAGGCCCAGAACCCCTCTCTAGGGCCGCTGTGACTCAACGGCAGAGGCTCTGGATTTCTTTAGGGTTTTGAATCGTTATGGAAGCAGGTAGACAATTGTCTTCCCCGGAGAGTCTCTGCACGGGTTCTAATTGGTTAGCAGTCTCGGGCTTAGCCACTGTGCACCCAGGGATCCTGGGGAGGGAAGGAAAGACTTTTTTTTTGAGTACAGGTAATTGTGATTGCATAACTCATTTTTTTTTCCAGCTTATACACATTTGTTTAATGGTTTTCACAAACGTTTAAATCAAATGCAAGACCTCTTTCAAAGGTCAATAGCTCATTTTAAAGATGATTTAACCATGGGACCATGAGAGGGGGATAATAAAATGAGAATAGGTAAATGACATTATTTCACCCTTTTAATGCAAATGTATATATTTAAACATTCCCTGTTCTTCTCCTTTGAGTCCCTGACGAGCACTGGCCTTTGCCTCCTGGCATATACCCCCTCTAGCTTTTCATCGCACCTGCTCGGCTCTTTCCTGTCTCGTCCCCTCATCCTGCTTTTCTTGTGCCACCCCTCGTATTGTTCTCCACGGGCTGCATCTCCAGTCAGCCGTCCATGCTCACCGATGGACAGGTGACTCTTCAAGTCCCTGTGTTCAGAGTTAAGGCTCTAGATCCAGGACAGGGATGGCTGGGTTACTGGTCCAGGTGTAACCATTTGAGGCACTTGCCGGGGCTGTTTTCCACAGCGATGGCACCATTCGCAGCCCCACCAACAATGGACTGGAGCCTGGTGTCTCCACAGCCTTGCTCAAGCTTGCTGTTCTCGGCGCTAAACATTCAAAAATCCAAACCCACTGTCGTCAAGTTGATGCCAACTCACAGTGACCTCATGGGACAGGGTGGGTTTCTGAGACTGAAACTTTCTACAGGAGTAGAAAGCGCCATCTTTCTCTTGTGAAGTGGCTGGTAGTCTCAAACTGCTGACCTAGCAGCTAGCAGCCCAACTCTTAACCACGATGCCACCAGGGCTCCTTGTTCCAGCACCAGTGCACAACCACTATCCCAGTCCCTGTCCCACGCACAGTATCCCTGCTGGGGGCAGAAGCGGGAGGCACAGGGAGCTTACAAACCCTGAGGCCTCTGGGATGAGCCGTGCCTGTGGGGCCACAGCTCAAACTTGAGCCCTCTCTTCTCTCCCCTCCATGAATGCCCCCCTCCCCTCCTTACCAATGCAAGAGACCCCATCCTCGGCCAGCACGGTCCCGTGGTCACAGAAGCAGATGACCTTGTGGCTCTCAGGGTCCAGGTGGCACTCATCTATCTCGCAGTGGCTGCAGTTGAGGTAATGTTTAATATTCACTTCCCCGTGGCCCTCCATCACTGGGGACAAGGAGGCAGGATCAGCTGCAGCTGCGCCCGGGAGCCCCACTCCCACCCTCCAAGGTGCCAGGGGTGACGGAGAGGGAGGCCCCACGATGTGCCTCCTCTACAGCTGGGTGTCTGGTCTCTGTTCCTGGACCTACCACACTGTTGTCTCCTGGTGGAACTTGGATGAGGACATGGGGGTGTGCCAGGTGACTCTTAGGTTCCCTGGGTCCAACTATGGGGCTGCCTACTGGTGCATTTCCTAGGACAAGCTCAGTAGTTGGCCTCCATGCCCCTAACTGACCATGCGTCTTGCTTCTCAGAACACTTGGTGAGTTTAGACGGCCTAAGGGGGGTTGCTCCTGCTGCCTGGTTGGGGTGGGGTACCTTTTAAAGCCGGGGTGTACAGGACGCCCAGAGGACTGATGAAGGAAACCCCATCCTCCCCGTCCATTTCGGGGTCATTGTTCAAGGCTGCGTTGCCCCCTGTGGCAAACCAGAGCAGAGGTCAACCCAGAGGGTGGGAGCCAAAGTCTCTACACACATGCGCATCAGCAGGGCATGCAGCTCTGGTCAGGGGAAGGGCCAGTGAGGGGCCTGGGCAGGGACGTGGGGATGGAAGGGAGACTCTAGGGCACAGGGGCTTCATCGGGGTTCCTCTCAAAGGAGTTTTCAGATG